TGCTGAAGGCGATTTATCTGCATGCAGGAATTTACATTTGCTTCCGAACTTGCAGGTACCCTCTTGCCAATTCCAACATACCTTCTTTTTGGGTCCAGCTGAAGATGAACTTCCTCTACCTTTCCCTCTTGATGAATCTCGACTTCCGCTTTTGCCTTTCTTACCTTTCATCTTGGCATCATAGACCTTCTGAGAATGACTGTAAAGACATTTGTCACCTTTGTTGCATCCTCCTTTATTGAAGAAGTAGTTACAGAAAATCTTCTTCTTGTCAACGGGTGAAGATGATCTTCCCTTCCCACCTTTGCCTTTCTTGTTGTTCTTGTCGGCATGGGATTTCGGAGAAGGTGTAGGAAGTACCGATGCAGCTTCACTCTTCGCTTTCGCCTTAGGACGTTTGGGAGGATCACCTGTAGACGATGCGGCCGCTTCATTCTCCTTCTTGGTCTTGACGGGAGCGGCAGGCTTGTCTGCATCTTCTAAGGCAGGTGTCGTCTTGTTAGAGGACAATGACAGTTTCACTGCACGTTCTCTATCTTTCAACAGTCGTTCTTGCTTCCCTCGTGCTATGTATCCCTTGATCATACCAGTTAGGTAAGCATAGGTCTTCTCAGGATGCCCTTCATCAAAGGTTTTGTATCGGTTGATATCGAAGGCCATAAGCTTTGAATGTTCAATCTTCCGGAACAACGTGTCACGCAGGGAATTATTGGAAGGCAGATCATCATGTTTCATATTGTATACGATGTCAAGCCACTTGTTGTAGAAGGCCTCAAGTTGGTCATCTCCATAGTAGTTGAACATATACAAATGATGGGCATTGTAGAGAACTTCAGTGTGGTCAGGTGACTTGAAGCTAATCAATATCATTGCAAATAGTTCTCGTCCCTTGATGAAGTCCCCACTCCTCCCATACAATTGGTTCTTCATGGACATGTCATACTTCACTTGCATGGACTTGTCCCCAGCATTGTCAATGACTTTCCTCAAGGCGTTGGAGAGCTTGGCATCAATGGATTGGAATCTCACATCAGGAGCTTTGGCCAGCGCCTCCAAGTCAGGTTGATCTGCAAGACACGGAGCTAACCACGCCTTCCAATCTTCATAGTTTCGATCTCCACTTGCAACGCAAACTTCATGAACAACACTCCCCTTCCAGGATGAAAGTTCAGTGGTCTTAGGCCAGGGTTGGAGGCTGATCTTTTCGGCTTCTCTTAGAGATACAGATGACTTGGATCTATCCCTTTCAAGGTTCTCCAACTCCTTGACATTTATGTTGTACTCGTTCCTGAGCTTCTCGAAGGCTTCAGCTTCCGCTCGGTATTCCTGCTCTTCATCATTGGCACGATCTTCAGCTTGAGAGAAATTGTTCTTATAATAATCTTTACGATCTTCCATCTTCTTCAACTCATCCTGAAGATTTCGAACTTCAGCGTTCCTCTCTTGCTTCATCTCGTCCAACTCTGCTTTCAGTTTGGCACACTTCTCTTCACATTCATTCCGAGGCATGGCATTACTGGGGTACCCATGTAATGTAGTCGGTCTACTCATTGATGAAGAAGAATGAGCTTGGTTTTCCAACTTCAGGGCAGCAATGGTGCTCGACATCTCTTCTACCTCAGCGTAACGCTCATTGGCCAATTGATGCATCTCGGTCAAATGGCTTTCAGGAATGGAATAGTCAGTCGCACCTTTGATCACGAGTCTTCTGTCGTTTAACATCTTGATGGACTTACCCGCATCCCTGTGAGCACGCTCAAGAGAGTCCTTTTGAGCTTCAAGTTCAGTATGAAGGCGAGCAATAGCTGTGTCCCTGTCATTGATTTCATTGTGCAAACTGTCGAACAAGTTACTCGTCACATTCGGATTGTTGCTCATGTGATCGATCTTGTTCAGAGCATCTTGATATTTCTTACCAGTTTCATCAAAGTTTCGCTGGAAGACTTTGAGCAGGTCCTCAGTATCAATGAGTTCAGATCTATTCTGCAAGTACAACTTGTCAACTTCGGCCTTGGATTCTTTCAAGCTGTCACGTTCACGCACGGCTTGCATGTACATCTCGTATAGAGGTCCTCCATGCGGTGATCTGCTCGGTGAGGATCTTCTGGCTTGTTGACAGGAAAGTTCATGATACTGATTCTTCGATTCAGTCAGTTGCTGTTGCATTCGATCTAAAAGACTTTGTTTCATGTGTAGTTCAGAACGTAGTCCCATGATCCTCATGTCCCGCATGCCACCTGATTCAGCTAGAGATTCTTCAGAAACCCTGTTCTCAGAAATCGCTAGTCGAGATTGTAAGTTCTCACTGTGGATCACCTGCAATCGAAGTTGCGATTCTTCCAAAGCTAAGTGATGTTCACATTCTGCATAACGGTCATGTTCAGATCTTATGTTACTACGGAACTCCTTCATGATCTCGTCCCTCTTCATGTCAGCAGCATCGAGCTCAGTTTCCAGTCGCCTGACGTTCATGGCCATGGTGTGCTTCATCGTCTGGTTC